CTTGAGTTCCAAAACTTGTGATTGAGGTCCACTAACCCAAGATGGCCAACAGATTGGGGTAAAGTTCGAGAATGGATTTATGGAGAATTGATGCAGAATATCTTCTTTTGGAGGAAAATTCCAATCAAATGTCGAAATTTGGCGTACCGAAAACTCTCTAATGAGTGCAATTACATATTACTAGAATGTAGAAGGTTCATACAAAGTACCAACATCAATAGCCAATGAGACACTGGCCAAGCAATTCCCAATACAATTCTCAAGCATAGAGCTCGTCAAACGACAGCCACTCAATTCGTGTGGCTAAGGTGAATTATTAGCAAGTTCACACAAAACGAAGTCATTGAGTCACTTCCAAAAACACTTCATCGCAAACAAGAGCAGCCAACTACAGTGTACAGCCAAATGGCACGTAGACAGAGCCTTCAGGATGGCGAGGGCACTGGTTTGACAACTCGTGCAATGAGCCAAGGTGTGGCTTTGCTTGAAAACTTGCAGAACCAACGCCAAGAAAAACGAGCACGCTATTCAACTGCACGCCATGACGACGACGGTGGTCAAGATGTGTCCACGAGCCCAATCTACGATGCATACTTGGATAGTCAAGGTCCTGATGGGATCCCTAAACTCACCAATTTCAGTCCCTCCAAGTTTACGTTGCTGTGGGCTGAGGTCCGAAATCATATTGCACGTCTCTGGAATGTCGGCTCTGGTCGCAAGTCAAACGTCTCGGCGCGCGACATGCTTTTCATTGTCTTGACGTCGCTAAAGCTTTGCGGCACTTGGGACATCGTTGCGGCTGTGTTTCAACAACAGACAGTTACGTTCGAAAAGCGGGTCATGACGTACTTGGATGTGCTTCATCCATTCTTGTACCGGAAGTTCGTCGAAGCGGCCGCCGAAAAGTGGAGGATGACTCGTCTTGCGTCTATGAACCAACGTTTTGTGAACTTTCCTCATGCAAGGTATGCAACGGACGTCACGTTCCAGCAGACTAACATACCCTCTGGATCGTACGCCGAGAAGAAGCTTTTCTTTAGTGGGAAGCATCATTTGTACGGCCACAAAGTCGAGATGTCCGTGCTCCCGAACGGCTTGGCTATCTATTGCTCTGCCTTCGCAAAGGGCAGTGTGTTGGACAAGGCGATTTTTGAAGGCAATGTCGAGTTCCACCGTATCAACTTGGCCAAAAAGGGTAGCGATGATGTTCTTGTCCGCGGTCGCACCTCCGCGCTGGGATCCTACACGGCAGTGTTGGTTCGATGGCAAGATCGGAACTTGGCACTTCACGAAGACGGAGCCAGCCAAACGTACCAGTCGGAACAGACCAGCAGGACATCCAGTGATGAAACCGGTTACCGTTACTCGCGATGTCTACCGGCGCATGCTTATTGACAACGTCATTCCTGCAATACGTGCCAGATGGCCCTCGGAGCCTACAACAGTGAGGATCCAGCAGGACAACGCAAAGACAGATGTACTCGTTACCGACCCGATCGTTGAAGCCGCCTGTCGTCAAGATGGATGGAGTATGTCCATTGTTTGTTAGCCGCCCAACTCTCCCGATCTGAACGTCTTGGACCTCGGATTCTTCCGGGCAATCCAATCCTTAGCTCAATTGGCAGAGTATTTCGTTTACTCCTTGAAGCCGGGCATCATGCAAGAACTGTTGAAGACATTGTCGTGGCCACGTTGAAGGCATGGGACATGGTGGAGCCGAGCACGCTGGAACACAACTTTTCAACGCTGCAGACGACAACAACATGATACCGCACATACACAAGTCCAAGCTCATAGCCCAAGGAAAGCTGCCATACGTGCTGTTTTGCGACCGCAACGTTTGGACTGACGGCTGTGCGAAGCTGGACAGTGTTGACTACAACATTCTGATGCATACGCTACAGGCTGAAGTCAATGTGAGCCTGAAAATGATGGAGCTGTGCAACACCACGGAGTCCCTCGATGTCAAGACGAAGATGATTGCGGCCTCATTTTGGATGTGATGGAGATCCTTCAGCTTTGGATGTAAAGTTTCGATTTATGTACAGTATATCTTGCTTTTTGAATGGACTCGGTTCCAGATTCAAATCGGACATTCTTTTTCAAATTTCAACAGATTTCAAGTCGGATTTCAAGTCGGACATTCTTTTTCGGATGGAGGTAGTATTTGATATAACTTCTTCAATTCGAAGTTCAGTTGCCTAATAGATTCTGTTGCCATCTGGAGGTGACCAAGTGCATCCCAGGGATGGCGCTGTCGCAGGGTGGGTCAGCGTGGCGCTGGAACCTATGAAATGTTGACGGGTTGCCTACAGCAAGATGGCAAGATGTTTTCGCAGCAATGTCCTTGACTTGCTTCTTCGATATCTTGGGTTGACTCGTAGTTGAATCTTGTAGCGGAACCTGTGGAACAGCTGGGTACAATGCGGCGGCATTGATCGCTTCGGTCCAAACTCAGCAATTGCACCATCGGCTCGGTTGTGGAGTTGAGTCGTTCCAGTGTATTGTCCTTGATGGGGATGACTCTTTGATCTCGGTTTGTACTTGTTCGCCCGGCGAGGTTTCGGAGGGCCATCATTGGTACAACCAGTTTACCTTTCATCAGCGGTAATTTCTGAAGTTTACTTTGGTACGACGCAATGTATCTCTTCGGTACGCGGTTCATAGTCAAGTGAATAGTCGTCATCAAGCTGTCGAATGCCTCCAACGGGATTGACACAGTGTATTGCTTTGGCGGCATTACAAACGAAAATGATTTTTTTGTGCAAATGTACCTTCACACGACGTAAATATTTTTCGGAGAGGTTTCAACCGCAACTGTTCTGACCCATGCCGCTTTGATTATTGCTAATTCTGGAAGATATACTATATCTCTCATTTCAAAATTTGCTACGAAGGTCGCAAGTTGCTGCACCATTAAGTATTCATCCAAGAAGGCGACTACATGTCACGGGGTTTTAAGACACTGCGATGGGTAGGCGCGGCGCGGGCAAACAGGGAAACTCAAACCCAGGTGTGGAGTTCGAGGCAAAATGTAAAGTCGAGTTTGTTAAAGGTGTGGTTGTAGCTGTAGTTCTAAAGCTCTAAGTTCTACTGCATCGTCGGTTGACGGTGGAGGGATCTCCGTCCTTGGGTCGGTCTTCAATGCTCGGACCATGGTCCTGGTCATCGAGTCTCGGAGGTGTATAAGGTCTGGGAGGTCTTTGC